ACATTCATTGGAAACTCCACCGCTATCCAGGAATTATTCAAACGGATCTCTGAACAATTCACCGCCATGTTCAGGCGCAAGGCTTTCTTGCATTGGTATACCGGGGAAGGCATGGACGAAATGGAATTCACTGAAGCTGAATCCAACATGAATGATTTGGTATCCGAATATCAGCAGTACCAAGAGGCCACAGCTGATGAGGACGCGGAATTCGACGAAGACCAGGAACAGGAAGTGGATGAGAATTAATCCGATTGCAATGCAACCCTTTTAACAGACACGCATTTTTTTATTCTTCGGACGGTTAGTTTGAAAGCTTTCTTTTCAGTTAAATTCCCCGCGGTGTTTCACTTTTTTCAAGCAAGGATTTTAGTGTGTTAACTTGTCGAAATTGTTTTTGTGCCTTTTCAAGCGTTTTAATGTATTAACTTTTCAAAATTATTTTCGTGCTAAAACCTTTGAAGTCCGAATAAACCATTTTATACTACACTTTTTTGTATTGATTTTTCATCCCCATCCTGGTCCGCTAACACGTGTATTTGTGCATACTTGTGTTTTCTCGATCAACCAGTCTGTTTTACACGCAAAACTCAAATTCGGATTCACATTGACAATTTTTATCCGTAGTTTCACGGCTTGTTGCTAACTAAACTAGACAGATTTTGGACTATTTGCAATTTTTTTCTTTTACTTGAGCAGCTTGTTTATTGGCGGTTTGAGCTACTTACTATGAATATTTCATCTCGAAAGCTGAGCCTGATGCCAAACGACTCGAGCGAAGGCAAAGTTTTTTAAATCCTTCAAAATACATGCAATTAAGTAACCAACTAGCTGCCCTGTGAGCACGTCTTTGGAAAAACATTGTGAATTCTAATTGGCTCAAGATGATGCTTGGTTTGGAAGGCAACAAACAATTAACTTTTCATTAATATCCATTGAAGAATTTTTACATGCATATTGATAACAGTTTTTTCTTTCAACGCTTTCTGTTTGGAAGTCGCTTGGTTTTCGTACATTGGTTAAGACAGCCGTACTGTTGTGCAAGCAGCGTTTGCTGTAAACATTAATAGAGAGTTATTTGACATGCTAA